CCCATCCTAGCATGGTTGCGACAAGATTTGCAGCCACAGAGAGTAACTAAGGTTACTGGGCACCTTCCATCACCATTCGCCACCACCCGCCTGCCAGGAACGAGGAGCTAAGGCTCTCATTCCAGCAGGCTCACAAGATCGTAGATGGTGAAGGCGAAAACAGCACCCTGCTTGGACTTTGGTACGTTTGGCAAACATTCTTGGAGTGGCGGGGGGGGAAGCTCACCACCACTTTGTGGCTAAGCTCTGCGGCCCAGGGTATGGCTTCTTGAAAGTCTTCTCTCTACTGATCTTTGGCATTTGGCGGCAAGAATCGGAGCCACGCAGGCTTGTCTAGTTGCTCGTATTTGTCAAAGGCATTGAGCCTGGCACATGTACCTCGCCAAGAACGAAGTGCTCGAAGCTGCGTGCAACCTGCAAAAGCGCGCCGCGCAATGTAAAGTAGGAATGGTGGAATGCAGACTTCCTGCAGCGAGGCACACTGGAGGAAGGCTTCTTGCTCTATGATTCGCAAGTTTCGGAAAAGGCTGAGTTGTTGCAACTGTAAGCAGTGTGCAAGGTCGATCCTAATATTTCAGTGATGTCCGTTCGGGACAAGTTAACAGTTTGCAGCTGCTGGCTGCGCGCACAGGCGGCCGATTCCACCGAGTTAAAATCTGGCGGCAGGGAAAGTGAGACAATTCCTTGGAGATCAAAAGCAGACTGTGGTCTGGAACACACTGCTCAGTTCGCATCATTCCCATCACCCGTGTAGAGCCTGGGTGCGAGCCTTGGCTCCGGTCAGGGTCGGACAGCTGCAATGCAATTCATCCAAGGGAGTGACAGCCAACTGCCATTTCCGAACAGCTTCTGCCCTACGCTGCGCCTGGCTTTAGCCCTCGAAGTAGCAAGAAAAGAGCGGTGTCACTGCCTCTGACACTTATCACCCGAGGAGCTTCCCATCGCTGTCGATCTGAATGCACATGCCAGACTCCAAGGTTTCGAAAATGCCGTGCTAGCAGAGCTCCCCTGCTTGGAAAGCAACAGCACCCTCCGGTGCGAGCTGCAATTCGTGCAAAAAGACACCTATGAAGTCCTAACAGACCCCATTCAGAGCAAGCTACGTGCCAACTAGCGCTTTTATGTGCTCGCCCGGCAATGTTTTGTGGAAGCAATCCATAAAGGGCAACTTGAAGAAAAAAACCAAAGCCCTGCGTGTGTCTTTTAGCAAAATGACAAAGTGCCACCACAAGCTTTCTTCTTCCATGTCTTGGTTCAGGACGGTGTCCGGATCGGGGAGAAGCTGCTTGGAGGAGCTGCAAATAGTCCACTTGCCAGATACAGTTGGCCTGAGACACGAGGCTTTTCGCGGATGCTGTGTACTGCGAGCAGTGACAGCCCCAGGATGCAAACTGTTCGGCATTAAGGTTTTTGAAGCATGCTGCTCTCTAACCCAAATTGGGACGACTCAACACTCTGACAATCCCAAGCAGAACTTCGGCTTCGAGCGTTTGAAGGGTGGACGGCCCTGTGTCCGGGATCATGTGCAACCAGGGCGGCCTCGCATTCCTGGGCAAATAGCAAAAGCGTTTTCTTTTATGGATTCCTCGCCATTTGTGCCGGTTGACTCTAATGGTATGGAGAGTGGGCGGTAGATTGACCTCTCCAAGGCTAGTGCTGTGCACAAAAGTAAATCTTGGATTTCTATCTTTGTGTTGGAGAGGTCAACTTTCTTTAGCAAGTGGCAATTGTCACAGGCATGAGCCCCTAATACTGAGAAATCCTGGGGACAGGGAACTTGGAACAGAGAACTGGAGAAAGGGACTGGACAGGGAACTTGGACAGGGAACTGGGGACAGGGACAGGGAACTTCATTATGGGTGACTTTTCCTTCAAAAGAGGCACCATCAAGACAGGATGCGATTCATGATTCATGTTTTTACGGATGCCAGTTTTGCCCCCATGAAGTCTTTGGGAAGGAGGTCGATCACTGGAGTCTGTATCTTGTGGCGTCAATGTCTGTTGAAATGTTTCTCGAAGACGGAACAGGCAGTGACCTTGTCGTCTTGTAAGGCAGTTGGGAGAGAACCAATGCGGCGCGCAGGAGGCTGTTGGGATGACCAGGACATTGTCGTTTTGTGGAGTGTCTGTGGAGTTTGCTGGAAGGTGAAGACGCTGAACTTTTGCAACGGTCATGGAAGTCTCGTGCAAAAGACTTGACACGTGAGTTGGGGGAAATCTCGCAGGCGTTCGTTTTGCAGATTTGAACTGTGAGTTTTTGAAAACATCTTGCGAAATGCTTCTGTTGCAGACTTCCCGTGGGACGTTTGGAGGGAGTCTCATGTCAAAATGCTCGTTTTGCAGACTTGACGCGTGATTTTTTGAGGATTTCACATGGAACGCTGGTCTTGGAGACTTGATCGTGATATGGAGGAAGTCTCGTACGAAGCTCGTTTGGGAGACTTGACGTGTGAGTTGTTCTCGTGGGAAACGCTCGTCTTGCAGACTTGATGTGTGACTCTTGGAGGACGTTTTGTGCGAAATGCTTGTTTCGGAGACTTGATGCCTGAAGGCTTGTGCGAAACACAACGGTAGGGTTGGAGACGTGGCGGTGACTTTTGAAGACTTCAGCAAGAGTGTCGCGCAAGAGTCCGACAAGAGTGTCCCACAAGAGTGTTCCACAAGAGTGTCCGACAAGTGTGTCCTACAAGACCTACAAATGTGTCGCGCAAGACTGTCATACAAGAGTGTCCCACGAGAGTGTCGGACAACAGTACCCTGCAAAAATGTCCCTGCAAGAGTGTCCCACAAGAGTGAGTGTCATACAAAAGTGATCCATAAGAGTTTCCTGCAAGAGTGTTGCACAAAAGTCCGCAAGAGTGTCCTTCAAAAGTGTCCCAAAAGAGTGTCCTACAAGAATGTCCCGCAAGAGTGTCCCACAGGGTGACGACAGTGTCGCACGAGAGTGTCCTACAAAAGCATCTCCTACGAGACTGTCCAACAGTGTTTGGGCGTTTGTTGTGGGGTGCATGTTTGCATTTGGGTTCGTGCGTTTCATCTTGTGTTTTTGGTGTTTTTGTGTTTTGTCTTTCACATTTGTTATCCATAGTCCGGCGCGATCATACCTCGCAACATTAGGCTTTTTAAAGGACTCCACACAGAACGTGGTTTTGGAGTGAACACACAGGTGAAGGCTGTCCAATTGTCAATTTGACGCAACCACACAGCAAAAATGCCTCTTGAGCCGTTTCAGATTCAGAACCGTCGGTTTGTGTAAAAACATGGCAGACAAACTGGTGTGTAGACAGTGCGCAATTTGATTTTTTCCTTTCAGGTCTGCGGATACTTTGGGTGCAAAGACTCCAACAAACACAAATTTCTCCCTCAAATGTTGCAGATCTTTTACGTTACATTGTTCATTCTGATTCCAGTGGCGTTGGCCCTTGAATATAGTGAATAAACTTGAATAAACCACGTCTGCCGGACAGACACAGCACCTTTGACATGTGAACGGTGAGCATGAAGATCACGCTTTTGGTAGACGAGGTGCGGGAGCTCCGGATCCGTGGTTTATTTGATTTGCGTGTTTTGAGTCAGAGCTGCAGTGGCTTCCACCACGGAAGGACCTACAGTCCCATTAAGAACAACGGATTTCAGTTTTCTTGTGGGCTACAAAAGCAGCGAAGGGACGAAGGAAATGCGTGCCAGACATGAAATTCAATTTTTTCATCCTACATCCTATTAGCCTCACGTGGTCTTGACTTAGATCCAAAGCTGAATGCAGTGCCAGGCTATCAGTTGTGAAGACTGCTATGACTCTGAGCTGTTGCAGAAACTTCAGGAGGAGATTTCTGACCAGGTTTGTTCGTCACCCGTTGACTCGACTTCACGTTCCTTCAATGCCATGGCCGCCTTCCTGGCATCTCAGCGACAACGCGGAACCACAAGAATTTAGCACTAAAATTTGTCGCGGCCACTTGGGTTCAGATCTTTTTCAGCCTCACGAAGCATTGCCTTCTGACAGAGTCTGAATTTTGCCAGGGGGGCGTCCAGAACATGGGTAGCATGGTTGGCAGTTGTGAGATGGTATTTATTGGGCTGGGGTACCACGGCAAGGACATGCACAGAGGTGGACATTGGTCGGATGATCTGTATCGGTTTTGTTGACGGGGTGGATGTACAAGTCCGAGCTTGCCGCTGCCCCAGTTAGTAACTCCGATTGCTTGACAGCCAGGAAGGCACTGCTGAGTATAGCTTGCCAGAGGCTGGGTGTTGGTCTTTGGGCTCTGGAGACCGATGTCGTTTGATCCCTTTGCAAAACAACCCGCAAGAGGGAGTTTGGGACGGATAGACTTCAAGGTTCCTGGCTGGCAACCAATGCCAAACCAGCAATCCATCTTCAAACGGTTCCTTCTAAATGTTGAAACAATTGTAAACAAGTTGTTGAAAATAACTCAGTGGATCATTTGATTTCTTCAGAAAACTGTGCATGTGGGGTGTAGCCAAGCCGAGTGTTGCGCCCGAGCCGCTCGAGCAGTTTGCGGGTGGTGCTCCTCTTCTTCGGAATGCCTGGTGGCCCACTCGAGCGAACCCATGGCTCGACGGTGTCGCGGTCGAGCGGAAGCGAACTTCTCTTAGTAGCTTAGAAGTTTCCCCAATAAGGAAGGAGGCAGGGCCACGGGCTGAACAAACATTTACTGTAGAAACATGACATAAAGATAGAACAATAGAAAGAGAAACAAGGGTGTAACCGCACCTTGTGATTAAGGCCTGCTTGTCAGATATTGACCGAAACGAGCGGTGAGGAGATGATATGTGAATCATGTGTTGCAGCTTTGATGTCCGCGGCCATTTCAGAAACCGAGATCGAACCACAGTTCAAATAGATTTCTCTCGTGATTGGGCCAGAAGGAAGGTGGTCAAACAAAAGAACTTGAGAAGCCGGTTCCCTTGCTCTGCTTGGATGTCAGCAAGCGTGATCGAACCACACTTGAAGACTATTTCTCTCTAAACATCACGCCATGACTATTAGCATTTGGAGCTTGCTCCTCCTTCAGCCGGCCTTCGGCATTGAACTCCGATCTTTGGGGGCAAATAAGTTCGAAATCAGTTCGACACTGACGGAGTTCTTTTGAGAAACTACAGGCTCCGAGAGTTCGTTCTTTAACTATCTTTCTTTTGACCACAAACTTACCGTTTTTGCTTGAAGGGCGCAAAACAGTGTTAAGGAGCTCCAAATGGGACCCGAGTTTATTCCTGAGGAAGGAAGCACTTGGAAGGGCACACAATCACCTTGCCCTCAGGACCGCGAAGCGAAGTCACTCAGTGTTTTTGCATGGCCGACCGAGCACATTCGATCAATTGCCTGCTGGTTTGGCTATTCGATTGGAATGTTGTGAGCTTGAGGATCCTGAAAGGCCCATGATTTTGGCACATGGTTGAATGTAAAGAAGACGTTCCTCAAGAGTTCAAGATTTATCAAGCCAATGACTGTGCTGAACTTGAGATGAACAGCTCTGGAAGACCTTTTGCTACAATGTTTCTTTGGTGGAAGGGACAGACCGGGTGTGAACATCGGCGTCGGCCTCCAGGAGCTCAGGTGCTTGGCCAAGTGTTGTCTTCACCCGACGGCGATGTAGTGGCCTATGGCGATCTGCGCTATGCGACGGCGGAGCGCTTTGAAGCTCCATCCTTGTGCCGAGGCTTTTCTTTACTAGCAAGTGCATCGCTACTAGTAACAAGGGAATTACTACTAGTAGCAAGAAGCTAGTATTTAGGTTGGGCCATCGCTGCTAGGGTGCAGGCCATCGCTGCTACTAGCAAGAAGCTACTAGTAGCGATGGACTTGTTACTAGTATTTGAGCTGAGAGATACGGCGCTGAGATAGGAGCGCATGGTTCGCCTTGGGGGGCCTTGGGCGTTGATGCACGTTGATGTAACTAACTAACGTAGTTTGTGCGCTATTGTTTGCCTGGCTTCTGTCATGCCAAGGTACACTGCACCAGCTGGTGAGGTCATTGATGGTACAAAGATCAATGAACGTTGTGTGCAGAAAGGTCACGGAGATTCCGTGGAGGGCGTGGAGGAGAGGGCACAATCTTCTTTGTCAGCACGTGATCCCAATGGGTCCAACCACAAGATCCAGGGTGCAGTACATGTTGGTGGTCCTTCTTGCCTTGGGTCGCTTGGCATGTTTCTTTAGGGACCCTAGAACTCCTTGATTTTGCCCCATGCAGGATTGCCTCACCCTGGCAGTCTTTGTGCCAACTAGTACTAGCAGTGAAGGCTGGATGTGTGGCGGCTGCGCCACTGAGTTTGGTGGCGTGGGGCAATGCTCTGAGCCAAAGAGGGGGTGGAGCAGTCTTGCCTGGTGGGTTCCATCTTCATGTGGGTGAAGACCCTTGAGCTGGTGTTGTGTGTGGAAATGTTGGGTTGTGGATGAATTGGTGCAGAGGCCCAAACCCTGGGCGGTGTAGGGAGGACGACAAACGCCCATGGCTCAAAACATGGCATCCACATATTTTGGTAAACATACAGGGGACACAAGGAAAACATGGACTAGCGCCTTTGGTTCCCTGAGTTTTGTTTTTCGAGTCACATCAAAAAATCTCCCATCTCTAAAGCTCTGCTGGCCAGGCAAGCGCCCAGTCTTGGTCTTCATTCACGGAGGGTTCCTGATTTCTGGCAGTGTGGCCGACTATTACGGCAAGCTCAACTACATGGCGCGGTGTCAGGGGCAAAGTTGTGACTCTAGTGAATCTTGATGAAAGCGTCTCATGTCAATGAACTTGGTTTCAGCTGGTGCGTACACTTGGCTTCACACCGCTTCGCGGTCGAAGCCGCCCGCACAGAGTAAAGGGAAAACAGACACACACACACACACATACAGACATAATCAGACATAGACATCCATCGATGCATACAGACACACATAGTTGCAAACATACATGGGCAAAGTGTGTCATTAGCACCCTACCGGCTCGGCAGCAACCTGCGCTCGCGGAGCCGGGAACCAGCAACTTGTGCTCTCGGAGCCGGGAGGAAATGTTAACCGGGCTCAAGCGTGAAGAAGCGTCATCAGCCCCTTCACTGAGGGTTCTGTCTCGGTCTGTCAGTCTGTCTGGCTGGGTCGAGCAGGACACGCGGACGATGTCTGTTTGTCTCGGTCGGTCTGTCTCCGTCTATCTGTCCTGGTCTGTCTGTCTTGGTGCGTCTGTCTCGGTCTGGTCTGTGTTTCGGTCGGGCAGGACCCACGGACGAACACACCCACGATGTCAATAGTACAGCGTCCCTTGGCTTGCACATACGTCCGCGATGTCGATAATGCGATCTGCACCGGTCTACTCCAAAAACATATCCATTTTTAAAACGCACTGCAAAGCACACCTTTCTAGAAGAAAAACAAGGCCCCCCCCCAGGCTAAAGCTTAAGAATCCGCCCGCACCGAAGGTGCCGAGGCGTTTTTTATAAGGCACGCACTATACCGCAAGTACCGCAAGTACTAAATAGCTTTAGCTAGGGGGGGGCCACTTTCGCTCTAGAATCCTGTGTTTTTTCACGTTTTTGGAACCGGCTTAAAGTGCTGGAAGATAAATGCGTGCTAATTTTTGCTATCTTGAAGCCTTTAGTGATGCAAGAAATGCAATTTTCTGCTTTGCATCATCTGCATCATCTGGACATTTGACTGAACAGGTTCCCCTAACGGGGCTCAACATAGCTTCCATATTGCGTAACATCGCCCTAGAAGTCACTATCTAACGGACGTGTCTGCGAGATAGGGACTTGAACGTCCGGGTACGTGGCTGGTCAGGAGCAAAGATAAGGAAAGATAAGGTCCAGGAATGGTGGTCAGGAGCAGACACACGAGCATAGCTCCCATATGGTCGAACATAACCCCAGAAGTCACTATCTCAAGTATGCTTCGCCGAGATAGGTACTTGAACGTCGTAAATATGGCCCAACGAAGGCTCAAAAGGGACTGGAATAGAGTGAAGATATTGCCTAACATAGCCCTAGAAGTCACTATCTAAAGGACGTGTCTGCGAGATAGGGACTTGAACGTCGTAAACTGGAATAAAACCCCCCCTAACGTGGCCAAACATAGCTTCCATATTGCCTGGCATAGCTTTAGAAGTGATATTTGGCTCCACAGGAGCAGAGATAAGCAGAGATCACGTCCAGGAACGGTAACATTTTGGCACGAGCAGAGCCTACATATGATCGAACATAGCCCCAGAAGTCACCATTTCAAGCATGCTTTTCTTCGGGATAGGGACTTCAACGTCGTAAACATGGCCCAACGAGGGCTCAAAAGGGACTGGAAAAGCCTGCAAAGTCACTACCTCAAGCATGTCTCCTCGAGATAGGGACTTGAACGTCCGGGTACGTGGCTGGTCAGGAGCAGAGATAAGGAAAGATAAGGTCCAGGAATGGTGGTCAGGAGCAGAGATAAGGAAAGATAAGGTCCAGGAATGGTAACATTTTCTCACGAGCATAGGTTCCATATGATCCATCTGCATCATCTGAGCGGTAAAGTGTAATTGGACTGAGGCGGGCCATTTGGCTGAACAGGTTCCCCTAACGGGGCTCAACATAACTTCCATATTGCGTAACATAGCCCTAGAAGTCACTATCTAACGGACGTGTCTGCGAGATAGGGACTTGAACGTCCGGGTACGTGGCTGGTCAGAAGCAGAGATAAAGAAAGATAAGGTCCAGGAATGGTGGTCAGGAGCAGACTCACGAGCATAGCTCCCATATGGTCGAACATAACCCCAGAAGTCACTATCTCAAGTATGCTTCGCCGAGATAGGTACTTGAACGTCGTAAACATGGCCCAACGAAGGCTCAAAAGGGACTTGAACGTCGTAAACTGGAATAAAAAAGACCTGATGTGGCCAAACATAGCTTCCATATTGCCTGGCATAGCTTTAGAAGTGGAAATATTGGCCCCTTCCATGCGGTGCGGGCGGTTACCGTCGCGAAGCGACGTGAATTAATCTAACAGACTTCTTCCGGTCGCTGTTGATGCGAGCCTCCACAACGCCTCGGCACCTTCGGTGCGGGCAGACTTACAGGCCCTTAGCTGCGTCAAGTGGAGCTCTTGAATTCTTCGGTTTTCTTGGCCGAGAACTTGGCACTTTGGTTTAGCTTAACTTTGTCTTTAGCGCCTTGCTTTGGAAGGTCGTCGTAGCTTCCACTGAGACTGAGACCCACTTCTCCCACTGCGTGCTGAAGCAGCGGTTGCATGCATGTCAATTGGGTATGCTGGAGGGTGGTCTGAGTCAGGCTTCGATGCTTTGATCCCCGTTCGGGAAGGCCTTGGAGGGCTGTGTGTACCAGGTTTGTGAACGACAAGAGGTTTCAACTTGGCAGCTCGCTTTGCGGTAAACCAACCTCAACCAAGCTTCGTGCACTTGCGTTCAAAGGACTTGTCCAGGTGGAGAGAAACTGGTGGTGAAGGAAGTCGGCCAAAGGGTTGGCGCTTGGAAGGACCCTGAATGATACGAAAGGTGAACTTCGTCGTGATGCTCAAGTGCGGTCGTAAGGACGCTGTCATGACCATTGCCCTCCGCTCTGGGACTCTGGGACTCCGTAAGCGCCTCACCTTACCTTGGTGATGCTCTGCTAGACATACCGGCAGGGGGCCAGACCAGACTTGATGAGGCATAAGGGCCTGATGGAAGGCAGCAGTGGCTTCTTCTACTTGGATCGGCGTGAGATCTAGGGAGCCACGAATCACGGGTTCCTTGTCATCATAGGTGTCAATGCTTGGAACACCATGCAGGAGAGCAGCTAGGACCTGGTGTCAGAGATGTGTGCGGAGGAGGTTACCTTGAACGAAATTGGGAGTGTGTGCATTTTCAAGCGAGCGCTTTGTTTGTCAAACGCCCAGAAGCAACTGGCTGCTGGACACCACCTGGGGCACTGCAAGTGCGTGAAGCAGTCAGGCTGTTCAAGCGAATCACTACGTGACCGGAATGCCCTCTTCTTCCACGGCATTTTCGTCGTTCTCCCCAGCCTTGATCCTCGTGAGTTTGGGTGCTTCTGTGCCAATCTTGCTGAACATAGCTCCATGAGACTGACGAAGCGACAGACCATGAGCTCCGAGGGCGACTCCGAACTACGCAAAAAGGATCCTGGCCAGTCGGAGGTGGACCAACTTCAGATTCTTCGGGCTGAGCTTGAAGTGCCTGTCAGAGCAGTGGGCTCGAAGCTGTCGAGGAACAGCTGGATGGAGTTGATGCTACGTGAAGCGGAGCCAGACTCAGATTGCTTCGATGAGAAAGGACCGCGGCTTCAAGGGCCATGCAGGGTCAGTGCTGGTGCGGTGCCTTGTTTGAGGAAGCCGAAAGCAGACCCCGCCGTTAGGCTTCAGGTCCTCTTGACTTCAGCTCTGAAGCCTTCGCAGAAGTCACATGTCCCTGAAGCGAACATCAATTAAGTTGTCATCATTGAGTGTTTGCCCCGCGTTAAGGAAGCCCTCGATGACTTTTCTGTGGTTGAATGTTTGTTTGAGGTTTTCATGTCGCTGCACCAGCACTCCTCGCTGTTGGGGGGGAAGGTTCTGCAAGCTGCCACCGACATGGACATTACAGACTCCGCGCGACCGCTCATATGCTGGCGCTTGATTGGTCAGTCGGACAAAGGCTAGCAGAGCACTGATTCAACAGGCTCCTGAACGTGTGCGTGTTCGTTTCAGCCAGTTGGGAGCGTGTTCCAATCCCCCTCAAGAAGATGGTTTCGGTTTGGATCCTATGATCCCCATGCAGCTTAGATTTTGTGTCGAGTCGAGTGCAGACATGCGTGGCGTCCACACCAGTTGAGAGTGCATGGGAAAGATACGTACATCAAGGAAAGGGCAGGAGGTTCGCTGAAGGTGATCTGGAGCAGCGCATTTGCAACGGAAGAAGGAAACGCCCGGATGTTGCTGCAGCCGTCAATGCCTGCAGCCAGGACGTTTGATCCGCAGGGTTGTGCCACGTGTTCGGTGAATTCGTTTTTTTTGACCCACTCACGGAGTGAGAACAACCCAAGTTTTGGGCATGACAGTGGAAGGAAGCTGCAAGAGTGGCACTTGTGAAGAGCTTATGGTGTTCCATCTCCTCAACCTTCAGAAGAGCTGGACAATGTACAGCACACGCCATCTGAGGCTCCTTCAGTCATTGGTCATCAGGCCTTTGTTGAGTGGTGCACTGCTTGTTTCAGATTTGCTGGGACTATCCACAGCCTGAAGAGAAAGCAGGGAAGCAACAATCAGTGATTCGTGGTTGCCTCCATTGCCAACATCAGGCAGCAGCTTCACAGACTTCACGGATTTCACAGGCCACAGGCCTCATAGACACTTTTGGCCTGATGGATCACGTCCCTCACTTCGCCCTCTCACCTGGCGATTTGATGGACATTCCAAAGCTGCCACGCTGTGCGAAGCCAGCAAAACGATCTGACGGGATGTTTGTCTCGTGTCATTGGACTTGGTTTGAGCCCGTGCGGTTCACTTCATACCGTCGGGCCTACCGAGCTAACTGGGGGCAGTCGCGGATCTTTCTTGCTTTCTTTTGTGTTTGCTTGTAAGCGCTGACCACCGTCATGGACCTGAATGGACTTCAGTCTATGCGGGAAGTAGGCCCACTGTTTTTGCTGTTTTTGCCTTTCACTTGGCATAACTCTCCGGTAACACTTTGCAGATGTAAACCTGCCGTGCAAAGCGTTTCACGTGTTCGTTGAAAATCTGAAGAGCCCCGCTTGTGCAAAGTCCGACAAAACAACTGGGGAAAATCACCGCAAGGGTGGCCAGGGCTTACACTTTGCAAACTCACTGTGCTGTAGCCCAAAGGGACCATCGCTGAACTTCAGTCAAGCAATCAACATTTGGTATCGCTGATTTGCAAACAAGTTGCAAGTGTAGAAATCGAAGAGAAGTTCCGATGCCAGTTTGAGTGACTGCGACTTTTTTGTCCATACTGTGAGTCCTCATGGGCCTTTCAAGTCATGGCAATGTGCAATTGTTTTGTAAGGGACGAACAAACATAACAAACATCTATAAGAATGTGCTGGGCTGTTTTGGGCACTGCATTTTGCGGTCGTGGTCAGAATAAGCTGGTTCTAAAATACTCTAATAAACTACCTGAGCAGGTTTCTCAATCCCATGCGTTGCCCAAGCAAACGACTGGCCTAGCCTTGATCGATTATGTTGGTTTGTGCTCACGGCCACATGTTCTCCCTTTTGGCAGGCCAATCAAGCCAATGCAGTGGTTGTCGCCATCCAATACCGCTTGAACTTGTCACCTTGGCAAAAACAACAGAGGTTTGTGGAGAAGCATCCTCCACCCATGATCCCAACAACAGTCAAGAGTTCGTATACTGTTTCCCTGGCTTGGGGATCACAAATTCAACCAGTTTGGAGGACAACCAACAAACCCCCCCCCCCAGCGGCTCCTGCTGCCCAAAGTCCCACTGTGGAGGATGGTGGTGTTATGTGTTGATGGTTGGGGCCATTTGCTTGGGGAGTGAGAGGTGATCATTCTTTTCCTGGGTTTGCAATCCATTGCGTTGAGCTACCTTCGCAGGTAATTGTCAATCAATGTTGTAGTACAGACGTGGCATTGTTTGTGATAGAATGTTTGTTCTGGTACTTACTGGCCTGAGAAATGAAAGGCATATTTTCCAGTCTCACATACACAACATGTGCATTTTTGCAGCCAGTGTAAATATAATGCGGGGAAAAGGTTGTTACAACTTCTAAACCAGACTTTTTCTGAATGAAGTACTGTAAACCAAATCTTTGTTGCTTCAGAATCACGAAGTTCTTCCAACCACGCTTTGCGCACTGACCAATGACTTGTATGCCTCATGAACGATGGAGCTGTTCGAAAAGCTCTTGTTGAACCCATTTACTCGGGCCTTTTGGGCTGCCATTGAGCAGAACGAACGTCTTTCTTCCTAAGGCTTTTACCCAAGGGTTGGGTTAAACCAGTGGCACCTGGTGCACACCCAGAAGACTGAAGATACTGTGTTCAGAATGTTTGCCCGATTACGTTCATCTACAATGATTTGGAGTGTTTAAGTTTGTCATTTATCAACAGCGCTGACGGCTCCGCTAACATTCTTGGTTTATGCGATTAGCAGATTCTTTCTTCTTTTTGAGGTGAGTCAGCAAGTTAGACTTCCAAAAATCCAGTTCGCTCTTCCAAGGTTTGGCTTCCTTCAGCCGCCAGCGGACATCGAGTCTATTCCTGCAAATAGAGGCGTGAAAGTACTGCGTCTTTGTTTCTGTTTTCCAAGCTTCTGACGACGAAGACAACAACAACCACTACCACTACCACCGCAACAGCAACGGCAACAACGCAAATGACAACAAGAAAAGACCATGCTGTCTTCAAAGCCTTTTGCCTTGAAGCACCCTTCTTTGGCAAGATACAACCCATTTTCACCACCTTTCTATGTTTCGCAGGCTTTGTCCATGGCTGAGCGAGTCTGTTTCCCCAGGCTTGCGAGACCAGATTGAGTCTCTGAAATGGGTCCAGAAGAATATCGCCAGCTTCGGCGGTGACGCGGAGTCCGTGACGCTCTGGGGTCAATCTGCAGGACTTTCAAAAGCGAAGCGGCCCCTCTCGGAAACCGAGCGTTGCGTCCGTTGAGTCCCAAACACATTTGGAGCTGCATGGACCTTTCAAGTTCGAGCGGACCTGAGAAAGGTTAAGTTTCCCTAAAAATCTAGGAACCAAATCATTAGTGCGAGCGCAAGCTATCCTGCATCCCAAGTAGTAGCCACTTAAGCTACTAGCTACCTCTTCTACTAGCTACCTAGCTACTACTAGCTAAACTCTACGCCCCCGGTCTTTAAAATTAAGAAACATCCTCGTTGCTTTTCCGTTGGTCTGTGAGACGTGTGGGAATCGATCCTTTAGCCCAGAGGAGAAGGTACCGAAATCGGCACCCGATCCAGCAAGGAGCTCGCTCGGTGGTGGCGCTTTACAACTCTCCCATGTCAACCGGCCTTTTCCACCAAGCGATTGCTATGAGTCCCGGACGCCTGGCTGTTCTCTCTTTGCTGAGTTTTCTGATTGAAACTGTGCATTGGATGAGGTGTCTCTGACCACTAGTTACTAGTTATTAACGGCATCAGTCCATCCTGCGAGGGCTTTGCCAAATCTGTCCAAGGCTACATTCCGGCTATGTTTCAGGCTGACATCTCTTTGGCCACGCGGCAAAAAGAGGACTTTCGAGGAGTGACCCTGGTTTTCTCTGTTTGGGGCAGCCAATTGAGTATGTTCCACCTGCGATTCTCTGAAGATTGCCCACAATTGTGTGCTCACCTGAATGTGGGTCAGCCAGGTCAGCTAGATTAGCTGCCAGCCTGGATGATTTACAAAGCGTGTCAAGTGAAGCCACGGTTCAAAATAGTAGCCCTTTAAGTTTCATCAAGCAAATGAGGTTGAAGTGCTGCTGCTGGCAGCTCCTTCGATAGTCGAGCAGTGGGGTCTTTCAGCATGGGGTAAGACTTACATGTATAAAGATTTCATTGCTGATTGCTTTGTCTTCTGCCTTTGTTACTAACCCAGTGTTTTGTTAGTTTTGAAAAAGGTAAGTTGAGGCCAACGACGACACGTTATTTCCAAGGGTTTCGAGAGAGGAAGCCACATTTTTGTCATTTTTTGTCCAAAGCCTGTGTGCATGATCTTTGAAAGCGTGTGTACATGCAGTATCATCTACCAAGCACATTCAACCGAATGTAATTACCCCCTTTACCCAACCCCCTGGCGCCCCCCATCTTCCAAAGCGTTTGTGAATGTGGCATCACCTTCCAAGCATATCCAACACACTACCACTGACGAGTGCAAAGGTTCCGAAACGCACTGGAATTCCGGTCCAAAGACACAAAAATGAACTGTGAACAAGTACGAAGAAGAAAGAGGTTTCCCTGATTCAACATAACACAATGCTGTATTAAAAATTAACATGTTACCTTTCATGCCAAGTGCAACAACATCAGACAAACTCTTCGTGGTTTGAGAAAAAGTGCACGACTACTAGCACGGTTGTCAACCCGCTGGCATTGAAATGCATATGATGTTCCCCCCAGTGGCCCTGTGTAACCATGAAACACTGCAAATACCACACGAATTTGGGAGCAACTGCTCAAAAAATCTCAAAAAGCGACCAATGCGTACGGCGGTGACGGGGCGTTGAAATCACCCCAAACACGGCGGTGACCGAAAAGAACCGCCCCGTCGCAGACCGAGGTCCAAGAGACCTTTGGACATCGCTGCATGGAGGCGACGAAGTGCTCCAGCCTGAAGTGCCTAAAGGAGATGAAGGTGGAGACATTGGCCAAGAGCTGTATTTTTTACCTTCAGGCCGAGGAGAGGTTGTGGTTCTTTCCTGCTTCTTTGAACCAGTTTGGTGTTTTTTTAAACTTCACTGAGCAACCGAGAAGCGCTGCACGGTCACAAGCAGGGGGAGTATCCAACTCCCTGCCACTGACAGAATGGTGTATTCAGATATGGGACTTGGGCGGCTCCACAACCCCTGCGAATGGCTCTATTGTACTGCATTTCTACACAAATGGCTACCCTGGAGGACTTTGTGACCGTGCCCGGTGTATACTTTTCCGGTTTTGATGGCACCTTGGAAAGGCAAAGAAACGGTCCCGTTCAGGTGATGTTGAGAAACGTGACCTGACTGTTTGCTTAAGGCGCTTTCGTTTTTCTGGGCCCATTCAGTTTGAAACAGCCAAGTTTCTAGTTTGGGCCATTGCTCGCTACAAAGATGGGAGCGGAAAGACCACCTGACCAAGCAACGATGTTCGAGCAAGAGCCGGGGCTTCAAAGCCTGCTTGGTACAGAAGTCGCGCAGCGCCATCGGTTCATGTCCAGAGATGACCCAGATCGGCTGGGTGAAACTAGTAGCTTCTGGCTACTACTAGCGATGCCCTTGTTACTAAATAGTTGTTTTGCATTCATGTCGCGACTAGATCTCGAATGGCCTCCTTCACTGGGTGTGTCAATCACTAGGTCAGTTAAAATAAAGACGCGGCTGGTTTTGTCACTTTAGGCTTTTGGTACACTTGGACGAACGTGCTTTTGATTTTCAGCTCCTCCAATCTGACATAGATATTTAAACATACTTTGTATGCCCATTAAACAACATTTAAAAAACAAAAACTGTATACTCGATTGCAGGTCCACCTTTCCTATTGTAAGGATGCATGGTCTCGATGAGGATCAACGATTGTGAACCTGCTGAGGTGAGGTACTGGAGAAGCCGGTGCGAGCTCCGCTTTGTTCTGATTGGAGTCCTCCAAATAGCAACTTGATCAATCCACCTGCGCTGTCGGATATGACGTCATGCCACAGTATCAGTGATTGTATAAATATAGTACAAATAGAATCTACACAGAATCTGGGTGTAGTTAGTTGCTTTACGAGCTTCTTTTAGACTAGCCATCTAGCCTGATGCAATGGTTGCTTATATTTGGTTAGGTAGGTCTGGTATAAGCAGGTTACTCTAGTCAGTTGTTCAGATGTCTTCTTATTGATGTTTGGGTTGATCAACTGTTTGTGTTTGCCATTTTGGCTACAAGGCTCCAGGTGATCAACCCAGGCTCTCTTCGAATTTTCGTGGGTCATTGTTGAGAGGCCTGGGAATTTTCGTGAGCCATGGCCAATCCTTTCACCAGGCAGCAGAGTCTTGCTGCATCTCGCCTGCTCAGGCCTGAGGATTCCGTGTCAAATGTGTCCAACTCCTCTAGCTGGCAGAAAGTGATGGCTCCAACAGATGATGATCTTCCACCTGGAGACCTTGAATTGCCACCTGCGATCGACTTGATGAACAAGGTGGCCAGAGATGAGAAAGCTCCATCGACTAGTGGCTCCACAACAGCTCAGAAAGAGCAGGAAGCTCCAGCTGAACAACCTTCGAGCCAAGAGCCTGCTGGATCCAGGGAGCCACAACCATCGGCTTCAGTTCCACCACCGCCACCTCCCAAGAAGGCGGCACCGCCAGTTCCTGCAGCTGCACCTGCCACTCAAGCTGCTCAGAATTTTCTTGCCGGTACCAACCCTCAGTACGGATCTCGCAAATTGAGAAGGCAACAAGAAAGGGCAGCTCGCCGAGGGGCAAGGGCAGTCAGATTTGGCCAACTAGGCGGTGTTCACAATGCCTTGAGTTCCACACTGCCTCCTTATTTGAGGCAAGTCGGATCTGGTGCAGACGAGCGTTCAGTGCTTGTGGTGGACTCCCGCGACCAGAGGATCTCGAGCCCTTTTCAGGGATGGCTTCTTGATGAAATTCTCATCAGCGCCCAGGCAGGCGTCAACGTCCTGTCAGATGCGAGGTTGATCAGGAGCCCAAGCACGGGATACCACATGTCCTTGTTTTACATGAGGACCCTCGAGGGGAAGAAGCTCATTGTGGTTGGCTCCATGACTTCCTACGGATCTGTGCCTTGCGGAAGGTGGGATTCGCTGACAGGAGACGTCTTGTCTCACCAGGCGTTCCAACCTTTCAGATGGCCGATCATGAGGGACGACTCCGCGACCTGGGTGGACTTGAAGTTCAAGGTGGAGGGTGCATTGCTCATCCACCTCGAATTTCGAGGTTACAAGAGCGATCGTGACATGACAGTGCAAGTGAACTACGTGAACGATGCATTGGTCATGGGGTTGGAGGACGTGTTGTTCATACCGTCCTGCACAGTGACGATCTTCCAGGGCTGGAGAGTCTGTGCAGTCTCGTTCGAGGTCGGGGGCCAGCTCTACGCGTGCAGTGAGTCTGGCATGGTCGTGGCGCTGGATTTTCCACTTTGCCACTTTGAACTCCGGCTCACGGCAGTGTCATCGGCCGATTCATTTGGCCATGACGCAGACAGATTAGAGTTCAGGTTCAGCTCTGCTCAAGACAGGTTGGATGTGAGTTGTTCAACCATAGCAGTGCCCACCTCGTGGCTCGCAACTGGCACAGGTGGCAGGCATCCATGCTCACTGGACCTCTGCTGTGACGGCTGAGTCGGTGGAGGATACGGGCCCGAGGATTGGGGCCGTTGATGTCAGCTCGCACCAGGACAATGTTCATTTGACGTGTGAGAGCCCTCTGCTGAAAATGGAGAAGCGCATTGTTCCAAAAGAGGCGATCGCGCTCCAGTACCATGATCCAGCAACGGAGAAGGCGACGATGATCTTGCCGCCGACCATGGGGGCCCCTGCCGTGGCGATCGCACAACCCAAGTGGGAGCCGCTGCAGGACTTGGCTGGCCGGCCAGCAGGATCGGCGCCTTCCGTTGAGACCCCACGGAAGACAGAGATCTCTTTGACAGCTCCGGGTGTGGCAGCTGTCGTTGGTTCCGAGGGGCGCCAAGTTTTCGCGCCTCGTAGGTCTTTTGATCAACGCCGAGGAGAAGTGATCGCCGATGCAGCAGTCACGCCTCAGGCATTTGTGCACCAGGCGAGGTCGGTCATGAAGGCCTATGCTCAAACAGCCCGGGTCGATCGACCTTCCTCCGTGAGGATCACACTGGAAGAGGCAGAGCCTGGTGTCTCGACCTCCTTCCAGCCGCCGGGTACGGACGACTCGGTCGATGTTTGAAGTGTTGTGCACAGAGCATCACTTCGCGATCGTGCCTAGTTCCCGGTGGTTTCGATCGATATCAGATCAAGAAAAATTATCTGCTCGGGCGTCTGGGTGGGCCGAGGCTGCAGGGGTGTGACCAACCGCGCGGGTTCGATCGATGTTGGTTCTCGTGCACTGCAGGTTGGTCTCTTAGCCCTGGCAGTTTCGGAAGCTCAGAGTGCAGCGCATGATGTGTTCACGTCTACCGGTTCTTATTTGTATTTGACGCCGGGGATGTGTTCACTCTAGCATGCACTCAGAGCATGTACCATAAGACGTTCGTCAGTCAACGGCAGAGTGATTTGATATCAACCTCTTTCAATTTTAGTTCATGTGGATTTGAAGGCAGTGTTCAACAAGCGATCGTGAGCATTTTATTTGTGCATCTTGAGTGTGTTTCGTGTTTGTTCAACGTCACTGCTGTTCAAGTCTCTTATGCTTGAGTAGGTGCGGGGGCGCTCGACTCGAGCATTTGACTTGTCTTGAACTGAAGTGTTCACACGCGAAGCTGGCCCGCTCGAGGTCAGTACCTCCCAGCCGGTTGCGGGGGCTCGGGTGAGTGGGCAGTGAGTCCGGACTCTGACCTTTGAGGGTTTGATGTGCGGGCTCTCGCCTTTCTCCCGGGGTGTTCATTTTGTGTTTATCAACCTGTCCAGGGTTCGGTCGTGGCGATCGCTCGTACAGACCTTTGAGATGATGTCCATTGTAGATCATGGCTCAAAGGACTGACAGGTGGGTCACGAAAGTGTTGGCTCTGCCGGTGTTCACTCATGCTTTTTCGAGAGCGTTGATCGAGTCGCCGCTGTCCAACCTCGCTCTGATCGCTTCGATCGAAGTTTCTTCGGGAACTGAGTTCGTTCAAAAAGTGTCAGAGTGGGCGCCAACACTGGATCCAGAAGTAGCCAAAGCTTTGCTAGCTCGACCGGACCTACTAGAGCAGTTCTGGTGCATTGCCATCTCTATCGAGAAGCTGTTTTTCGAATCGACTTCGACCCAGCTCGGATTTGGGCTCTGCGAACCTGCTCGGGCACACAAGGTGCTATCGGATTCGGACGCGCTCCGTAAGCAAGCTGCAATCAAAGCACTAGTTCAGAAACAAGCCAAAGGTCCGAAGGGGCTCAAGTCAGAACCGCTCGGTTCGACTGGCCCCACGCCGCTCCTTGATGCTGAACAAGCGGAGAAGCATCGTTGGGCTGCTCGGCTGGAAGAGATTGGACGAAGAGCTGGGCCGTGGGCAAAGCTCTTCCAGTCGTTCGATGACGGTGGCGAGCTCACCTCAGCAGAATCAGCGAAGCTGAGACACCTCGTCCTTACGTCGAGCGCGCATAGGACGATGTCCGCGTACGTTCCTTCGTGGGAGAGGTTTGAGTTGTGGGCCGCGTCGTCGAATTTTTCACTTTTTCCTCTGTCGGTCGACAAGATACTGAAATATTGTTTATGGCTTGACGATCGTGAGTGCGGGCCCAGTGTTATTCCGTCGTTCCGCTCGGCTGCAAGGTGGATCACATCTCGCCTAGCGATCGAGTGCCCGGACCTGGAAGACGCTCAACTCGTGGCACTCCAGCGCAGCGTGGTCGAGAAGCGGGCGAAGGCTCTGAAAGAAGCCGTGCCCGTGCCGATCGAGCTGGTCAAGTGTCTCGAACTTTATGTTGTTTCGGGGGCGCCGAAACAGGCCAGGCTTTTCGTCTGGTGGTGGGTCTGTGTGATTTTTGCATCTCTTCGTTTCGATGACGGGATCCACGTAAACCCCAAGGACCTCCTGCTCAATGACAATGGTTTGTTCGGGGTTTCATGGCAAACCAAAGTGGAAAGGAAACGAAGGGGAACAAAGTTCGTGATCCCACTCGTAGGCTTCTCAGGCCAGGATTGGGTGGCGACGGGTTGGGAGCTTCTCTTTTCAGAGCCCTCACATCGTGATTTTTGGGTTCCGGATCTCAATTCACGTTCTGAGTTCCGCATGGCACCACATGATCACCTTCGGTCGGTTCAGTGGTTTAAGGTTCTGGCTAGAGAGGCTCTTGATACGTTTACCCCCACCATCCAAGTGTCTGTCGCTCGAGCTAGAGAAGTGGCGTTGATCATCCCCACTTTGACCGCCCACTCCGCTCGAGTCACCTTGCTGGACGCTGCTGTTCATGCAGGAAGAACGACCGAAGAAATCGGTTTGCAGGCCAACTGGAAAAACCCGGGGCCGCTCGTGTTGAAGTACACAAGAAACCGCTCGGACGTACCTGCACGAATGGTACAGCAACTCGTGCGTGACCTCCTGAGTCAGGATCACCCTGTTCAGGAGTCGGAAGACGTCATGTTGCACGAGCCCGATGCTCTCCATAACGAGGCCCCTGAATTCTTTTTGAAACAACCAGCCCCGGGGTCATATTACGATTACAAGTTCCACTGTTCTTCTAAAGAGGACCCCGACATGGTTGCCTGTAAGAAGCTGACGATCGATGAGTGTTGCTCAATGGGGTCAACACTTCCGGATCTGTCAGTGTTTTGCAAGGCATGTTCCCGTGCACGCCCTGAGATTGCTCAGACCTATGAGACAGCCTGAAAACTGTGCAGTTTTCGTTAGTGTGCATAGGTGTGGGGGTCAGACTCTAGGGTTTGGTCAGTCAAGCGGTTCTCGCAACTGTGATCGGACAGTCTTTCGAGTGAGTGCAGAATCAGTTCTGTTGTTTGATCGCTTTGTGAAGTTCGGCTCGGTGTCGCTCGGCTCTAGCCTCTCAATTTAGGCGCAATGGTCGATCGTACCAAGTACACCGACGCCGACCACACACCGGATCTGCCCCTTCGACAGATCTTCGGACGCCAAAGCGTATCTGTGTAAGACGGTGGCTGACGCCGGGTTGCTGACGGTCGAAACTTTTTCCATGCTCGGAGATACGATCGCGGTCAAACAAACCCTCAAAGTCATGATCGCTGATGAAACCAAACTCGGTGCTTCGGAACCCTCTCGGGAACTCGCTCTTACTGCCTTAGCCGCTGTTTGGAAGACATGTTCCACCATGCAGGATCACTTCGCAGCTCGGCGGGCAAAAATGGAAGAGGATCCAAACAAGGTCGCAGAGATTCCGGGTGAGGATCACGCCGAATTTCGTCAGTTGTTCATCGATCGACGCCCTGATGTGGTTCTCCCCCACCATAGAGAGCCCCATAGGAAGTTCGTGGAGAGACTCCAACGTGATTTTCTTGTTCATGGAGCTGTGAATTTTTATGAAGTGGGTGAGATGCGGACTCGCAACGAGTCCATTGCGCAGAAGGCCGGGCTCAGCAAGAATGCAATGGCGCCATGAAAATCGTGGTCTCGCACTTCTCCTTTCAGCAGACTCCCTGATTCGCAAGAAAGTCTATCGACTCAATTCGGATCACAAGCAAACCTATCCGACCTTTTCCGATGCTTTGCTGGAAGTCTTGGCCCACCACAAACAGCTCTGGAATGATGCTCGTTCGAGCGCGGAGTTGGACAAGTTCAAGCAAGCCCACAACAGTGGGGCCCCTTCGACTCCGCCTCGAGCAACTGGCAGGAAGCGTTCGCGGTCGAAGACACCACCAGCTCCGTCCTCCAAAGCTCGGAAGAACAAAGCTCGTCGGGAACGAGCCAAACAGCAGATCAAGTCTTTGCGGGCAGCTCAGGATGGCAAGAAGGCGGACACTCCGAAGGGCAAACCTGCACGGGACGCTCGTATCCCATCCGCAGAATGGACCAAGGTGAACTCGTTCAAGTATGCGGGCCCCAAGAGATGTCCGTTTTTCAATTGTTCAAGTGGTTGTCGCTTCGGTGACCAGTGCAAACACAAGCATGCCTGTGTGGAGTGTGGCCAAGGCCACCCCTACCATGGCAACCACTGAGCGCTCGCTCCACCCGACCCGGAGGATCTCTCCCCGCCTCCGGGTTATTGGTTGGGGGATGAATCTCACCCTAGTGACGAGGGTCCGGCACGCTCGCTGCCCAACCCTTTGAGTGGTGAGGAGATCTCTTGCCCATGTTGGCACAGCTGGAAAGATGTTCCCGAAGATCCACAGCTCGTTCGTCAACACGGCCCTTGGTTCTTGGAGATCTTCTCAGGCAGCGCTCGCCTTACGGAACAAGTGAGGCTGCTCCAGATGCCTGCGTTGCCACCGATCGACATTGAGTGCTCTCCACAGGTTCCTTTCCCTCAAGATGTGCTGGACGTTGAGTTCTGGGACCGGATCATGTGTCTCGCACTGATTGGTGCCTTGTTCTTCGTTCATTTCGGAACCCCTTGCAACACCTTCACAGCCGCTCGCAAGCTCGATGGTGGACCTCGGCCTTTGCGCTCGCATGTTCAGCCCATGGGTTTGGACGGCTTGTCTCCTGACAACCAAGCTCTTGTGCTATTGGGAAATCTCTTTTTGCTGCGTACAGCCGAGCTCGCACTCGCGGTTTTCCAGGCAGGAGGTGACTTCTCGATCGAGAATCCTCTTCTCAGCCTTATTTGGGCCACACCGGTCATGCGTTCGCTTAGCCTGCATGCTCGCACTGTGGATGTGGACTTTGATCAATGTATGTTCGGAGCTCCTTCACTGAAACCGACACGCCTGCGAGTCTCTCACGAAGCCTTGGCCCTCGTGCCGTGCTCTTGTGATGGCTCTCATGTCCACGAGCGGCTGCAGGGCAAAGTGTGGGATTTTAAGAGGAACAAGATGGTCTTTCGTACAAAGCTTGCTCAGGAATATCCCGTCGATTTGTGTGCAGCCATGGCTTTAGCTGTGCAGTTGATCTGGTGCGCCTCGCTCGAGAAGTTCTCAGCCTCCTTCGAGCTTTCCGCCTTGGACCGGAAGCGACCTCTGGGCACTGCTGCGCTCTGGCGTGGTCATCGGCAGGAGCAGACTGCCGCTCGGGCTTTACAGGCAGGTTATCAGCTCAAAAGAGGAGCTCTCAAACCTTTGCGGGAGTTCGAAATGGAGCCAGGCCAAGCCATACAGTGGTCTTTAAAGGTCGTTCATCCTTTTACCGTGCCTGCACAGCTCGATGAAGCGCTCATAGCCTCGATACAGGCCTTAGCACACACTCCTGATGCTGTTCAAGCTCGTCGCGTTCAAGCTCTGCAGTTTTGGGAATCTGAGGCTCATCGTCTGCTCCCCATCTCTGTCGAGCGTATCGCTCAGCAACCGGATCCTGACCTTCGCAGATTGTTACGTGGAGCCCCCGACGATCAGCCGGCAGTTCTTGGCCAAGTTTGTCATGTCGCTCTGTACGAGGCATTGCTCAAGGCATGCGGCTCCGTGGATCAGGACCTCCATCTGGATCTGCTGCGAGGTTTCTCCATTGTGGGGCCGATCGCTCGCTCCAATCGCTGGCCTGACTACACTAAGCCTCAAGCCGCAGTGCCCGTGCAACATGCTTTGGACAGGGCCTGGGACTTGCGCAAGAAGATTGTTCACAGAGTTTCTATGGTGCCTATTTCGGAGAATCTGCAGAAGATTTGGGACGCAACGCTCGAAGATTGCGCAGAAGGCTCCTGCATGGGCCCTTGGTTCTCGGAAGATGAAATCTCCGACAAGCTGCGATGCAAGGATTGGATCCCAACACAGCGCTTTGAAGTTGTTCAAAAGAACAAAGTGAGAGGGTGCGACAGCGCCACGACTAACATGACCAATCAAATCACAGTGATCTCTGAGAAGCTTCAGCTGCCATCGACTGACTCCAATGTCGCGGCAATCCGGATGATTAGATCTGCAAAGCCTCTCGGCAAAGTTGCTGGCTGGGTGCTAGACGAGCGAAAGGCCTACAGGCAGATCGCTGTCCGGCCTGATCAGAGAAAATTTTCTGTGATTTGTTTGAAGGACCCCTGTTCAGGGCGACCCGCGTTTTTCATCATGATAGGCCACTCATTTGGACTCGTTTCGGCGGTATACAACTATAACAGGAGATCTGCCGCCATTAACGAAATTTTGTGTAAATTGTTCAATTTGGTGGCCTTTAGTTTCTATGATGACAAGTATAGGGGTTTGAACCGATCGAGACCGTCAAGAGCGCTCGACTTACGGCTGAATGCATCCACCACTGGCTCGGGGCGAAGTTCGACCAAAAGAAGCTCCAGCTGTCGGTGGCTCCGACCATCCTCGGTGTGACTTACAACCTGGAGCGCATGCAGCTCGAAATCAAGGACGATCGGAAGAGAGACCTGGCAGAAGAAATCTGCTCAATTTTGGACAGTGATCAGCTTGACCCGGGAACGGCTGGCAAGCTGAAGGGTAAACTTATGTTTGGAGCTTCCCAGCTCTGGGGCAAAGTGGGACGGGCCTTTTTAAGGGTGATTTCGGAACGTCAGTATTCCAGGTTCCCCTCCGGTCCGTCCTTTTCGCTCGATGAGCCTTTAAGGGTTGCTCTGAAGCAATGGTTGCATCTGATCAAAGAAGGTCCCCCAAGGACAATTGACATGCAGGTCTCTAAGAAGGCTGATGTAGTGGTGTTCACAGACGGGTTCACCCCCGACCCCCGGATCCGAGCACAACAAACAGAGCTCGATCGTGTAGGGGCCGTTCTGTTTGCATGATCGACGCCTTGACCACCCTCTGCAGTTCTCTGAAGCAATCCCTTCAAGTGTCAGCTCGAAGTGGCTCCACCGGGCGACCCAATCATTCCGATTGAGATGTTAGCCCCGATTTTGGCTTTGTGTTCGTTTCGCGATCGCTTGATGAACGCGGACGCAATACTTCTCATAGATTCGGAAGTGGTTGAGGCCGCTCTGGTGAAAGGGTATTCGAGTAAGTCTGACGTGTGCGAGTTGATCTCGCTCTTTTGGGATCTTGCTCTTGAGTTACATTGTAGAATTTTCATTGATCGGGTGTCGACAGACGCCAACCCGGCGGATTGGCCCTCACGGAACGACCTCAAGAGAGGCCAGTCTGCAGGGTGGGTGACTGTTCAAGTGAAATGGCCGACGAGGCTTAAACATGAAGGCCTGGGATCCTGTGACTGATTGGCTGCTGCTCAGGCTAGTCTCTCCCTGCT